TGCTGGGTTTATTGTTTGTTGGCTCATTCAGTCAGATGAGAGCGACAGAGAGGCCAAACCTGTTTCTAAGTATTGTCGCTTATAGCTCATAACGTTACTTCAGGCAGGTGGGTCTGGAGCCGGTGTCAGGTGGACGAACACTACCCTACCCTGAGGGCTAAAGTAACTGACAAAAGAGACAGCAGACAGAAAAGAGAAGCACAGAGCTGCCAACATTGCTAACAAGATAATCCTAGCAGGCAGAGAGAAAAAACAATTACCACAAAAACCCTAGGGAGCGTCTGTGGACGGGACGGCTCCATGATAACAGCATAAATGATAAAACATTTATTGTTCAAACTAATATTTAACTGTAAGCTGCAGAAATGTTTGGATTTTAAGCTACCAGCTGAGCGTATACGCTCACTGCAGTTCAAACAGTGTCAGATATTATGCTGCACATCTGTCTAATATACTGTAAATATATATATATAGTGTTGATTAATTGACTTTTTTTGTCGATCTGACCATCAGTATACAGAAAAAATGGCCTTTACACATTTATTACTGACATGACAGGAAAATATTGAACAAATCAATTAACTAGGAACACAAAATATTTAGTAATTTTAAATAATGAAAATTATGAAGTCTACATATTGAAAAATTAAAAGGTGACACCCAGCATAATCCACCCTGTGCAAAAATGCAAAATACACTCAGATCCAACCAGACTTTTTTGGCAGCATGTAGACAAACTGATTATGGAATAACATCGTGGTGAATGGCTTAACACTATGTCCTGGTGGGTGTCTAAGCCACTGCTACACCAGATTTTCACTGTGCTGTTTTTCTTGCTGATGATTCTAAATTAGCCAGTCCTGATGGCATGTGATTTTGGAAAGACCAAAAGGTTAACCAAGCAACTGTTAAAAAAATAAATAAATAAAAACCACTGAGGCAAGGGCCCTTTATGACCGCTACTTTATAATAAGCAGCTCCTCCATTTATTTACTGACCACAAAGCCCACAGTCCCAACTTATTCTGTTGCCTCACAAGACCAAGGCTTGTGAATTCACAGGTCAAAGTTCATCTAGATGAAGTCAGCGTGCCACGAAGTGAAAGTAATTGCTACCAGAAGCAAATCCTTGTCTTTCAAATCCTATGTTCTTTCCCCTTCAGTGAACTAGCTTTCCCGGCTAGATGAATTTTATTTGCATCTAGCTGAGAAAGCACAAAAGTGTAGTTTCTGGTGTCTCCTGTATTGCTCTAGCTGGCCAAACCCCCCAAAATGCTATGGATAAATCTTAGATGTTGGCACCACTGGTAAGCTCATTAACTTAAGTTCTTAAAATGAGGGGAAAAAATATTGTATTATTCTGTCTGTAGAACAAATGTCAGCACTGCAATATCTGTACATTTTGTTATGTTAGGGTCATATCCTGCCACACGGATAATTGTTACAGCTTAATTATACTATTTTATGATGATAGGGAAACCAGGTGTAAGGTATTTCTTTTCTGTTACAGAGCAGTTACTGTCTTCTCTCTTATTAGGGCACAGCACATTTGGTTATTTGAAACATTTAACGTTCAATAATGTAGTCAATGCATGTAACCCAGGCTTCATTTCCCATAGCCAGTTTATTTATGAAACATGTTTTAACATTAGGTCTAATAAGCCAAAAACATAAGCCATGCCAGTAATAAGACTGAAACACTCTCATTAACCTTAGCTTCATATATAATGTGTGTGAGCTAGTTCATGAAAGGAGACATGCTGAGCAGATATAATGATTACAGTCATAATCAAAGGTCCTACTAGTGAAGGGCAGATCTAACATTCAGGCCGGGTGCCTTATCCTTCTTGTTCATCACACACACACACCACAAACACCCCTCCAGTGTCTGCCTCTTTCCACTCTTTCAGCAGCAATCAAACAAATTAATGATGCATTAACTCCATTTGAGAACAGTGAAGGAAGAACTATACTAAATGCTTCATTACTTGTAAAATTGGGTCTATTTATTCACTTCGTTGTCATTTTGTTTGTCATTGTAAAACAGTGTACATACTAGTTTTAACAAGTTGGTTAAAAACAAGCATGAAAGGTGCTCGGTTGAGTAATCTTACATGAACATGAAATGCTCCGTATTTTAAAAACTTAACTCCAGTAAACTCTTGATGTCTGTAATGAAACAGGTAAGCAACCATGCAGATCAGCTAGTTATTTTGCAGTCACATACTGATTTACACTTCATTCAGAATGGAGTCAGTTTTCCTCCTACATTATTTACTATCACTTAACCACACAGAAGAGATGGAAAGTTGATGATCAAATCAATTTTTGGCTTTGTTTCTTTTATATGGTATTCTCTGTACAATTATGATGTGCCAGTCTGTTTGTAACTGAAAATAAACTATCGACCGCATGAAAATCAATAACTGCAATACAAAACTAAGAAAATACAAATTTTATTAGGTCATCAGTATGCAAAGGATAAAATACAAAACGGTGTTATAGAAAAAGAATCCATGACGGTTTGATACGTTACCACCCTGAAGTGAATTATTTTTGTATAAGAGCACAATCCTGAAGTGTATTACTGCTCTTATAAAATAGCAATTTGCCAATGATTACAAGTTTTTTATTTTTTTTTTTTAATGAACGCTTTTTAAGCATTTATTGTTATGGTTAATGCTGTGCATCATACATAAGACAAGTTAGTTTCTGTTATTACTTACATTATAGCAGCTATAAACAGTCATTCCTTCACCATTTTTCTTTTGTCTTTCTCTTAATAAGACTTTTGTCTTGCAACTTATGTTACAGAGAAACCGGAAAGAGCAAAGTCCTCTCTCTTGAAGACTGTCTGTGGTGGAAACTTACTGACTGTTACAAAGCGCTGATACCTGAGACTCTTCCCATAAATGTTACATAAACATCTTCTTATAGAAAACTTCACATAAAAAACTAACACTTATTTATCTGTTTATTTATAGCCTTAGACTTTGAGGAGCGTCTGCCATACAAGAAGCTGTGATTCCCTGTGAGTGAGCTGCTACTATAGATGACATTAAAATGAGCGCATTAATATACACCTGTCATTTATATTACAGCCTGAACTACTGTCAGAGTTGTGCTGATGGAGAAAATGAATGCACACCATCAGATCTGAGAATTCAACAGCGTTGTGGTATAAATATTATATAGTGCACTGTAATGCCACTAGTGGTTTTTTCCATTGTGCTCTGATTGGCAAAGTGTTCCTGGTGCAGAAATGTAGAAATGTAGTGGTAGTGTTTTTTTGTTTGTTTGTTTTTGTTTTGTTTTGTTTTTTTTTTTAGTAAGAGTCTACACTGAAAAATGTGTGGTTAGTCAGATTTAAGAGATATTACATATAGTTTACATAAAAATATTATGTTTCTCTTCAAAACATGATTTCAATGTATATGCTAAATTTAATTTAAACTAATGTATAATCTACTAGCTTGAATTTTGTAGAGTAAGTGATCAATTCACATAGTATTAATGTGATTATAAAATCTTGCGAGGATGTTGGCACTCACAGGAAGTAATGAGTATAGTATTAAATTAACCTGAGTAAACCAGGTGTGGCATGATACTGTAGTGGGTAATGTTGCTGCTTCACAACACCGGGGATTTGGGTTTGATCTTGAGTTTGGGAGAGTGTGCAGTATTTGATTTTATTCCAGGACTTTGAAAATATGTGATCAAATCATGTTGGATGCACAAAAACTAATTGTGCTAACGTAACTCAATTAATTCGTATGAAACTGATGGACACATTTGAATCAAGTCAACTCAATGACCTTTTTTCAGTAGAGACGTGAGACGTGATTTTGAGAAGTGTTTGTGGTGTTTTGATAGTTATAGTGCATTTTGGTCGTGATATGAGTGTGTTTGTACAGAGAGGGGTTTCAGGTTTGAAAAAAAAAGTAAACATGGTAATGACTAATGCTTGTTTGTAAACTGTAATCTCAGGCCTTATTGAGCTTACAGTTAAACTAGAGTACAGGTTGTGTAAATATTCTATTGAAAGTACTGTATTATGTTTGTATTTATTCTGGTTGTCAAAATAATGTAGCAATGAAACAATTAATTGAAAGACGTGAACTTCAGAACCGTCGGCCTTGTGTCTGACAAGCCCCCCCCCCCTCCACACACACATACATACGTACATACCCAATATCCAGTTTATTAGGTATACGAATCTAGCAACTAATAAACTGTGTTCTACGTCCTGTAGGGACCTCTAAATAGACTGATAAAATACTCCAGCTGCTCCCTAAGACACACACACACACACAAACACACAGACACACACACACACACACGTAACAGGTTTAATGAATAATGAGAATTGGAGAATTATACTGATTACATAAATATGAGAAACCACAGATGTTCTTGCTAGGTCTGCTGTAAGCAGCATGAAGACAGTAATCAATTAACTATGCCATGAATATCCAATTCCAATGGCTAATTCGTGAACTATAATCAAACCTTGAGGTCATTCAAATAATTCTAGATGAGAGAAACAATTGCTCATTGTTCATACACACTGAATCATTAATGCTACTGTCTTATAGTTTCACACGCTATTATACAAATTTCCCCATTGGGGACGAATAAAGGATTATCTTATCTTACATAATGGGAGTGAGATTAATCAAAGTATTTCTATTAGTGTTCACATCATAAAATAGAACATCTCGGCTAAAAGTCCCATTAACAAGAACAGTTCTGGTGCATCAGTAATATTTGCTGTGTATGTAGTGCTCCCTCTGGACAAAGAGTGCATGGAGAAGAAACAAGAGTGGATTTAGTGTAAAGGTCACATGAGAGTTATATCTCAGGGCACAATCCCACACACACTATGGACAATTTAGAAATGCCAATCGGCCTACAACAGATGTCTTTGGACTGGGGAGGAAATCAGAGTACCTGAAGGAATCTCCCGAAGCACAGGGAGAACACACAAACTCCGTGCACACAGGGCGGAGGAAGGATTCGAACCCCCAACCCTGGAGGTGTGAGGCAACAGCGCTAACCACTAAGCTACTGTGCCTTTTCTGTTCTTTTATTCATGAATATTTTTATTTCTTCATTATTTTTTTGTATTTCTGTATTTCCTTGTCCTTACACTAATGAGGCAGCTGTCAATCAAGCGTGTCATCCTCTCTCCTTATTCCCACTGATTGATATCAGATCCACAGATCGATTGTGCATGCTGGCTGTTTTGAATGTGAAGCACACCAGAGCAGACAGTCAGAGATGTGAGGCAGATGACTGAACTGGTAGAAAATTCAAATTTATTTACTCCTTCATGTAGTAGTGCTGGCTAGCAGTTCGCTGCACTGATGCAGCAGTTGATCCTTTAGTGGTCTGCAAGCTTACACGATGAAATTCATATCACGCTGCTGCTCTTCCATTTTCTGTTTCTAACAGGACAAACACACGGGAGTGTAATTCAGATACACTGTTGACATTTTTACTGTGTGACTTAAGGCTTATGAATGAGTTGGTTCAAGCCCAAACCCCTGACCTGTACCGTGCCAAAACAGTGCAGCAGTGAACGTGATGTTACTGAGGTTTTTCTTTTATTGTATATCATCAAACAAAGTTTATTAATCCAGTCAGATGTTCTCTTCTGTGCTCAGTGGCAGTTTCAGTCATAAAGTTTGAATTTTAACCAGTGCGTGGGTGCACATCTGCTCCAGCACTTCTACAGGCTGAAATGTGAAATGCTAAACACGTATATGTGCTGTATGTTCTAAAAAATAATTCACTGAATCTATTTGAATGAGTTTTTTTTTTTTTTAACTTTGTAGGTTCAAAGTTGTGTGCTTTGGCTAGCTAAACAAGCTGAACCACACGCAGACAAACACATCTTGATGTCTGTCTCACTTTCATGCACACACACTGCACAATGTACCACATCAACATGACATAAATGTCATGAAATCATGTGGAAGATCCTATCACCATCCTAATCAATCTTGTAATCAAAAGCTCTGTATCGCCGACGTTGCCTCCTCAACCATGCGCTCCCTGTCCCTCTCCCACTCTCCTACTCTGGGCTTGATTGCTGTGCCTGAACTTGAAAAGCACTCCCACCACATGAAAAAATACAGAAATAAATTAATACAGGAAACAAAATAAACAAAAGAATACAGAAAATAAAAAATGAATGAATAAAAATACAAAAGACACAACAAAAATCAAATATAAAAATATATAATAATAAATGCAGAAGTGAGTAAATAAATGAATTGAGAAATGTATAATGAAAAAAAATTAAGTCATAAATAAAACTGAAATCACTAAAATAAATATAACTTTGTGCTAATTTGATTTATTGATTTATTAAGTCATTTATGTATTCTCTTCTTTATTATTCATTTTGGCATAATCTGTCCTCCCTTATAAACAAGTATTGTTAACACATAGTGGGTTTTAGTCTCATTGATAGATCTTCTCCCACTACTTATTTAGATAGACAAGTATAACTTGTTCATGTGCAGTTATGCAACAGACAAAGAAGAGTAATAGTCCTAATGTTAACAAATGTCCCCAGAGCTTTGTCCCAGACCCACTCAGTCGAGACAGCTAATCAGCTGGCCCACGGCTGAAGTAGCGTCGGTCACGCTGAGGTCTGTGATTCAGAGGAAAGAGGAGGGAAATTATGCCTTAAACAGAATGGCAGGCAGATGAGTAAGACTGATCTGAACGTGGTAATCATAAGAGCTTTGTGCTTTTTAAAACTAATCGTGACACTAGGACCATTTATTCAGGGAAAGTGTTATAATGTCATTGTTCCGTTTTCTGTCACACAGGGGTGGAAACTGGCGACTTAACAAAGCTTTGATTTCAGTAATATTTCAACGCTTCTTGCAATGACTTAAGATCAATTTTATTTAGATACAAGGATTTTGAAAATAATCTTCTACCTAGTTGGCCAAGTTATTTAATTGATTAAATGATTTCAACTTAAGTCAAAGCCAATAAAACACACACAAACACACTGTCTTACAATCTCTGTGAGGACCTTCCACTGACATAATTATAATGCAGAAAATAAATGCTATTCCTGCACCTAAATCTAACCCTAACCTTAACCTCAGTAACAAAAAGGTATAGTTTGTGGCCACTTTAATAGGAACACCAATACCCCTGTTCATTCATGCAATTATCCAATCAACCAATCATATGGCAGCAGCGCAGTGCATAAAATCATGAATCATTGAGATGCAGGTCAAGAACTTCACTTAATGTTCACAACATCAGAATGGGGGAAAATTTTGGTCTCAGTGGCTTTGACCGTGGTATGGGTGCTGGAGCCAAAAAGGCTGGTTAGAGTATTTCAGAAACTGTGATTTTCATGCATAACAGCCTCTAAAGTTTACACAGAATTGTGCGAAAAGAAAAAACATCCAGTGAGTGATAGTTCTGCGAGTGGAAACTCCTTGTTGTTGAGAGAGATCAGAGGAGAATGGCCAGACTGCTTCAAGCTGACAGGAAATCTACAGTAAATCAAAACCAATTCTCAACCGTGGTGAGCAGAAAAGAATCTCAGAACACACAACACACGTCAAACCTTGAGGTCGATGGACTACTACAGCAGAAGACCACATCGGGTTTCACTCCTGTCAGCCAAGGACAAGAATCTGAGCCTACAGTGGGAACTGGCTCACGGAAGCTGGGCAGCTCAAGGTTAAAAAAACATCGCCTGGACATATGGCACCAACAAGCCACGGTCAAAGTTACTGAGATCACATTTTCCCCCCTTCTGATGTTTGATGTGAACTTTAACTGAACTTTAACTTTATGTATAGTGGTGCACATAATTGGCTGTTTGGATAATTGCATGAATTCCTAATAAAGTGGTCGGTGAGTGTATAGCATAGGTTATAAACTGCACAGTCTCCACTCTCCAAAAAAAAGTGTAATGAGTGAAACTTTTAATGAGTCTGGGATATTCGTTCACCCAAAGGAGAACGCAGGCAGGCTTCAAAACCGACAGACTGTCATTATGCTTCAAATTGATGCTAATCTCAGCACACAGTTGAACAACTCTTTACATGTGTGTGTGTGTGTGGGTCTGTGTGTGTGTGTGTGTTACAGTCTGTGAGAAATAGAGAAGGGGGAAAAATTAGTTGTCTCTTAGGTATTTGCTCACATTTGCTGCGCATTTGCTACTAGGTTTATCTGAGGTGATACACACAGAAATGTAGATCCTACCATAATTCCATTTAACAGAGGCACTTCATTCATCTAACATAATTTTACAGTTAATCAAGAGGATTACTTTCACCTACATAGGCAATGTTTTTCTTACATCATCCCTAAACTTAGTCAAATGAAGTGCTTCTGTTAAATATTATTAGGGAAGTATTCACTTTTCCATATGCAAATAACATGGACGTTCTCAAATTAAAGATATTATTAAGATAAGATAAGATATTAAAATAAATTGACCTGTGGCCTCCTGAGTGGCAAAACTGTGTTAAGCTTTCATCCTATCATCATAATAGATAAAATATAAGAAGATCTATTCCCGACAATGCCTCAGGCATACCAGAGAGCACAACTGCACCGTATAAATATACTGCATTCACAAGCAAATACGTGTTAATGATGGAGGTTTTGCAAAACAGCATCAAATTCATACAGATTGCATACAGATTTTTTTTTATAATTAATGAAAACGCATTATCCACACTTTATCAGCATGGTTTCCAACAATGTTAATACATTTGTCGAACCTTATTATTACTGGCCAACTGATATACAGTATATTATATCTTATATAATCTTATAAACATACTGAGATATATAAGAAGCTGTCTTACCATAGACCTCTAGCCTTGGAGAAAGTTTTGTCCACTCTGCAAAGACAATAAATACATTGCTTTAGGAACAAAAATAATATATATTTTACAGAACACAAACAATTAAAAATACATATTTCCCCCTTAAACCCTATGCCCCTTCTGTTAATGGTTATTTAATCTAGTGCCAACAGACTTATTACCCCCAGGCACCTAATAGTTAAGCCTATAATGTAGGCAAGCGTCCAAAGTTAACTAGGTGTTTTATGATGAGAACGCACTGAAGGTCATCCTTATTGTGTATATTTAATTGAAAAAACTTTAATGTTACATTTTTATTTATTACAATGTGCAAAGTCATGCCTGAGAAGTTTAATATTTAATCCTGTTAGTGTGTACTCAGTACAGTACATTGCTCTACGTAAATCAGCCATGAAATATTGAGCCGTTCATCCAAGGCCAAGAACACTAATGAGAATGAGCAAATTATGAGGAAAGTTATGAGAAAAGTGTTTCAGCTGTTCTGAGCATATATAAGTAGACTGCTCTACTCTGTTGTGATATTCATCTTGCCCAGGCTTTTTAAAATGGTTTTGGAATTAAGTTACAAAGTTAGAATAAAGTAGGCTTTTGATTCCACTGCTTTAAAAAAACGAAGCTACATGCAACATTCTCACACATATTTACACACTCAATAACACCTAGGGGCAATTAAGAGTAGCCAATCTACCTACTGCTATGTTTTCGGGAGATGGGAGAAAACACCTCCCTGCAACACAGAGAGAACATGCGGAAGTCCCCCCAAACAGTTACCCGAGATAACAGTTATCAGACTGGGAATCCTCGAGCTGTGAGGCAGTAACACTACCCGTGGCCGCACTGTGCGTCCGTGGAACAGTGGAAACAACAAAAGCCCTTGTATGTCCTTGACGTCATGTGTTGAGGGTGAGCCTTTACAATTTATACACTATATGGCCAAAAGTTTGTGGACACCTGACCACCATACACATATGTGGGTCTTCCACAAACTGTTGCCACAAAGCTGGAATCACATAAATGTCTAGAATGTCTTGTATGCTGTAGCATTAAGATTTCTCCGCATTGGCTCTAAGGGGCCCAAAACTGGACATGACAATGCCCCAAGTGAGGTCCATGAAAACAAGGTTTACCAAGGTTGGAGTGGAAGAACTGGAGTGGCCTGCACAGAGCCCTGACCTCAACCCCACTGGACACCTTT